AAGAATTTTTTTCACCCAGCTCCAGCCCAAGGGCTGAGAACGGGGGGGGGGGGAGGAGAGGCAGATTATATAGCGAAACAGCCCAAGTCCTCCCTAGCAGCCACTTTCTGGATAAGCAGGAAACTGCATCAGGTAAACAATCAGGGAAGAAATAATATTGTAACAAATGGCAATGAAATGTCTGCAAAAAAAAACAACCAACTTCAGAGAACCAAACATTATCAACAATGACCCCAAAGAGGTGCTCACTTATTGCCATCTATTTCTAATGTTGAATTGAAGATGCTATTTCTGGTCTTTTCAGAAATAATTTAGGAATGGGCAGGTCCAGCCAGACGTGAACACACTCTTGTTTGATAAACTGCTTGACTCACCCTTGCCAGGATGTTGCTTGCTGCTGATATACAGCAGCCCTGATATACAGTAACTATATACAGTTATTGATATACAGTAACCTTTCTTCCAATGAAGAAAAGAGTCTTGAAATTAGTAAAAGGACATAACACAAAGCACTAGCAATAGACATCAGGGCTGAACTATTTCAACCTGGACCACTAAAGCATTGGTCATCTGGCCTTATGAGCAACTCTTAGAAATTCTGCTAGAATCCAAGTCCCTAAAAATAATGCATTGGAAAACTTACCAGACATGCTGAATTCATGGATTCACTTTATCTATGATTTGGGGAGTCAAATCATCAATGCTTCCCCTGCTATTTGAATCATAATTTGGAGCTAGCATTGTAGCAAAACCTTTTTGGGGAATAAGATATTTGGGGAACAGCAAAAGGGAATTCCTAATTTCAGCCACTAAGGAAGTGCATTTCCATAACTGTGCATGCCAACAGAGTCAATAATATAAGAAAAGGAGCCATATCACGAGTTTGCTTTTCTACATTTGACAGAAAAGAAAAACAATCACTTTTATTTGACTCATCCTCAAATGAAATGTAGACTACTGTACTTGAGATATGCTTACATTCCATGTGATATTTCTGTACTATGCATGCATGGCACTTAACTGCTTCTCCCTATAGTGTTTCCTTCATAATGGGATAAGTGTGTGTAGGGATAGAATGTTTGCATTGAAAATAATAATTTTGGAATAGGTCATTTAGGCCAACCTCCTGTTCAGTGCAGGGGGCAGTGCAGTGCAGTGCAGTGCAGTGCAGTGTAGAAATCCACGCTGAAGCATACCAGGCTCCACTTGAGGGATGAAAGGGATACAAAGGAAGGAATGTTGATTTCAGAAAACTAGTGGTCTTGTTTTCAATCTGCCATGAGATCTATTAATTCATTAATCCAGTTCAGTTAATCGATTCATATTCCATGCTAAAAATAAATGTTCAGGAATTTCAATTTTGTTTGTAATTTTCCTTAGACATTAAGACATTTGATCTTTGTGTATGTATAACATGTGCGTTAATATTACAGTTCTGCAGTCTTTGGACTCAAGAGAAAAGGGTGCTTTGGGACTCACATAACACTTGTTGGCAACCTCTCAGAACAGCTGCATTTTTTCCTGCGATTGGGTGACTGCCCTCTACAACAGTAAAGCAATCCTGGGAAAATAAATGTTTGGTTTAAGGGTTGTTGACTTTTCCCCCCTTCAAATCTAAAGCATAGCACAGTCTAATTAATATCAACATAGTTGAGAAAATCGCCTCAAGTAGTATTGCAATGTATGCTGTGTTATATTAAATAAGTAGAAAGCACCTTATGAAAGGTATGACTTTGCAAGTATTACATTCACCAGCAGATAATAAAGCTACTAACTCATAATGTCTAAGACGCTATGGATCAGAAATACCAAATCGTCTAGAGTACATAGAGATATTCTTTAAAATTAAGGATCAATATTTCTATTTGTCTGAATTGGATGCCTCCTTTCAACATCCATGATGTCACTATTTCTGGTTTGAATTTAGTAAATCTTCCTGGATGACCTTACCTGAATTGATCTCCTAAGATAATAAATGTTTGAACTGGTTACTTGAAATTCCAGAAAAGGACTGTAATCTAGATTAGGAAATTGAAATATAATACAGAAGACAAAAACAAACACTTCCATAAACCAGCCAAAAAACTGTGGTGTCAAAGATGTCTTTATCATTCAGTCTTCCTGAATAATAAATAAATTCTTGGAACTTCTCAACTGTGGGATGGATTTGCTTGTTGGTTGGTTGGATTGTTAGTTTGTTTAGTGATATCACAACCAGCCTTCTGTGTTGTTTTTCTCCTAGCCTTTTTGGTTCACAGATTGTACTAATTGGAGTTCAAGCTTAACTTGAATCAAGCTTTTCAAGAATGCTGCTTGTTGTTTTTATTTGAGATGTTCTCAAATATGGCTGTAATGAAATACTTTGTATGCAGAATCATTAATACCAGAAAGTCAGGAAGAGGATTGTGGACAAACATTTTTTTCCTCTATAATTGGAACTGTACTACCTACAGCACTCTACGAAATTCTGGGAAAGGATTCAGCAATTTTATCTGTCTCCATCAACACATAGTACACTTCAATTTCTGAAATGATGACAAATGACTTGAAATGTTGTGATGTATTGTTGGACAAAATAACATTTCTTCCTGCAGAACTTTATTAAATTTGGCCAGCAACAGAAACACAATTACATATGGAAACCATTTCTCAAAAGCATCTATTTCTTAAATACTTGGAATAAGAAATGGAACATAACATTACTTGCCAGTGAAATAACTCGTTCACTTGACTGCATTCATGTAGAATAAAGCAAATTCTGGTTTACAAAAAATTATCCGTGGGTGCTTTAAAAGAAGAAAAAATATAAATATTTTTGTCAGATTTCTTCATTTTCATTAGTTATCATGTTTGCAAATACCATACAGCTACATAGGCACACATGCACACAATTCCCTATTTCAGTCATTTCAAATTTCATCAAAATAAAATAAATAAAATAAAAATGACAATCTTGATTAATAAAGTTTATGAAAAGGTTATAGTTTACATCATCTTTGTTGACCAAGCTAAGGTAGAAGTGGCTATGCAAGTCTAATTTCAGGAAATACGCATAAGCAGAAGAAAAGAGTCAATATGGAAATATGATTTAAAATATATTTATTATTAGATACTTCAGATGGCAGGCAAGACTTCAGTTTGCACACATAAGCCATGCTTGCAGTAGCTGAGATTGTGAATAATGAATTTTTTTTCCCCTAGTGCACTCTATATGCTCAGCACATTTGAGAAGTAGTAGGTTGTGGAAAGCTGGAAACTGTCTTTAAATGTTTTAGTGATAGTTGAATGGTGTATGATTAGGACTTGGATTTTATTTCATTTATCTTCTCTTCCCCTCTGAATTATTTTCTCTGTTTCCTAATTGGTGTGTTTTCTGAACCTTCTATGAAGCCAGGAACTGAACTTTCTACAATGACATAGGACAGTTTATTTTCATGCATAGAATCCATATATTAATTTATATGAGATATTTAAATTGGAATTTTAATATGGACTAAATGTCTAAATGTGAATGAATTAAACATTGTACAATTTCAGTTGATTTATGTTGTACTGATTATAGACTTTGTTACTCATTTTTAGCTTAAGTTTAATAGTAATTTGATTAGTCATGTTATATATCTTATATTTATAACTATTTCTCATAATTAATATTTTAGAAAGCTTGTAGCTTTCATGACATTGTAAATTCCTGATTTATTTATCTACATTACATTCCTTTATCATTTTTATGTTTTCTTTTGTATTTGTTTACTTTTTTAAGTGTTCATTAAAGGAATAAAGAAAAGAGTTTATTTCTATTTACACTGCTTAGTAAATAGCAGTATCAAATAATTGGATTACATCAATCCAGGGGTTACTTTTCACTTTTTAGATATTGTGGTAGGATTATTTTTTTTAAAAAAAGTTGACATGCTTGTAAACAAAAGAAAAATATCTACAGATTGACTCAGAAAGAAAAAAAAAATCAGACATTAAATCAAAATATTTTTTTTCAAAAAATGTTGTTTGTTTCATGACATCATAGTGGGAAAAGTTATTGCCTGGATTCTGCCCCCCCCCTTTTTTTTTTTTTTTTTTTTAGAAAGTTGAATGGAAGTTTCTATGAAGTGTGAAAACTTATTTAGGTTTGTAAAAACTGTAAAGGAAAACATATACCCCTCCCTAAAAATACATAAAAAGGTGTTTTTGATCAATTAGACAGAAGGTAATTTCAGTGCACCATGTATTCAGAAAGCAAAGATGAAATGAAGAACTATACTCAATTTTTTGTTAAAAGAAACATCATAGCAAAACCAGGGAATTTTGATTGTGTTATTTGTAAAAATGCACATCAACTGGTACATGAATATGAAATCAGAACTTTAAATACTAAGTATTATAATACTGCTGCACATGAGGAATGCAGACTCATCTGTCTTGTTACACTATCCTTGGTTGTCTGATTTAGAAAACTGGATGTGCACATACACAACAGAGAGGCAGTATGTGTTTTGTGTATGTGTATGTATATTAATTTGATTCTGCCACTGTACACCTTTCTTCTCTTATGTGAGTTAATGAAACTACGTGGTTGCTGGATTGCAGTGGTTGATTGTAAGACGTTCTGTGTTTTTCATAGTGTCAAAAATAGTTTTTTTTCTTTCCTTAAATCCTCACTTTTTCATAGAATTTTCAGGAAGAGAAGAGATGCATGCTTCATTATGAGAATTTTTTTTTGTTTGTGAGAAAAGAATGAATTTGGTTATTGTATATTTCTGGAAAGTTTGTTAGTTATTTTTGTAGAGGGTTTTGGAATATTTTTGTTTATTAGTAATATATTGTCCTGTAACCTCACTAGAATTCTTAGATTGAAGCAGCATAGATGCCTCAATAATAAATAAATACAAATATTATTTTTGTATATTTTCTTATATCTTGGTGCCTAAATGTACTTGGTTATCAAGGAAATACTTTCTCCTACTACATAATGAACTTATGTTCTCTCTGCTTTTTCATAGTGTCCAGTTTATGTAGCAGAAGCCAGTCAAGATCTTGTACAGCAGATAAAAGAAAAACTTGAAAACAGCCCGTGTAAAGAGCTGTTCTCACCCTGTGTAAAGTAAGTGCACTCTGGCATTCAAATTTTATTATTTTATTGTTGATTTCCATAAGACTTTTTTATATAAATATGTTCTCAATAATAAGCTGATCATTGTAATTTAACATTCCAAATATGAAAAGCATTCCACCCACAGACTCAAATAATTCTGAATGGTTCATGTCTAGACCAAAATTTAAGTTTTTATCTGGACATCAACTTGAGATATAGGTAGTCCTCAACTTATGACTACAATTGGAACCAGAATTTCCATTGCTAAGCAAGGGATTGTTAAGTGAATCCTGCCCAATTTTACAATCTTTTTTGCCATTCTCCCCATTGACCTTGCTTGTCAGAAGCAGCTGGGAAGGTCATAAATAAAGAACATGTGACCCAAGGATACCACATCCATTGTAAATACATGCCACTTGCCGAGTGCCTAAATTTTGTTTAGATGAGGCTGCAACAGTTGTAAGTGCAAGAACTGATCATAAGTCAGAACAAAACAGAGTAACAGTTGGACAGGATCTTGGAGGTCTTCTAGTCCAACCCCCTGCTCAAGCAGGGAAACGCTATACCATTTCAGACAAAATAGTTGTCCAGTCTTTTCTTTAAAACTTCAAGTGATAGAGCCCCCACAACTTCTGGAAGCAAGTCGTTCCACTGAAAAAGGACACTTTTTTCCATGCTGCTATAATTTTGAATGGTCACTAAACAAATGGTTGTAAGCCAAGGGCTGCCTGTATGTATGTTCTAGTCAAAGATATTCCAGGGTGGAATGTGGCAGTAAAACAGGAATGAATGAAAGCAGGTAAAGGAGAAAAAGGTGAAGACAGGCCTGGAAGATGCCAGGCCCTAAGACAGACATAGCAGTTGACCTGAAGGAAGGTGATAAATTGATTCCTTCCAGATTTTGTCTCAACTGAAACCATAACAACCAAGACAGTCGGAGGTTTTGTTCATCTGAATTGCAACCCCATTCAGAACATTTTGACTGAACTTCTGAGTCATAATGCAGTTCTTTTGTGCATATAACAAAGCACATTTTCTGTTTTGCACTCACTCCTCCTCAATGCCCATTTCATTTAAAAAAAAAGTAGTTTGCAGAATTCACATAGACAAAGGAACACGCACTTGTTTCAAAATGCCCTTCAGGTCTAGGAAACCTGAAATAGGATGTCTAATTTTGTGGTGTCATCTTTTTGTCCAATGAAGTTTCGCAAAGTTAGGACTTTCTTTTTATTGTCCCCTAGAGCTCCGTGTGTAAATATTTGTATCTAGAACTGCTGGTGCTTTTATTTGCCATGATATTTGCCAGGCTTTAACAGAAGGAAATATCAAAAGGGAGGGATCATTAAATGCACATTATTTCCAGCAGGTGCTTTTGTTGTTCTTGGATTGTTTACAGAGGTACTTGTGAAATTTAGAAGCTTTCATTCAGTAATTATACTTCTGTCTTTTAATTTTACTACTCTCATTCTGCTCTTTGATGGAAAAGAACCTAATAATTATTCATGGCCTTGGCAGCAATCTGATATTGCTTGGACTGTAGTTTATATGTTGGGATAGTGCATTACTGTGCAGTATATTAGAGGATGGGCAACCAAAAAGAAAAAAATACAACAGGGTTAGATAAAAAAAGAAATACACAAGATATTGGATAAAAAAGAACACATTATCCCTAAGATATGTTCTCCTAACACTTGTGAGTTAGAGATTTAAAACTAATCATCCCTCCTGAAGAGGAACTTGGGCACTTATCTAGACCTGGGAGCAAGCTTGTCAAGTATTTCTTTCTTTTTCATCTGAAATAGGTCTGTTCATGAGTACCTAAGTGGAGAGCCTTTCCAAGAATACTCAGACAGCATGTATTTTGACAGATTTCTCCAGTGGAAATTGCTAGAAAGGTAAGTGGCATTACAGGTGGATGCAGTAAAACTTTTTAAAATTAAAAGTTATAATTCAAAAGATAAAAACCCATAAAACTAAAAAATAAAAGAATAAAAATAGAAAGTGCACAAATTTTTAAAAATAAGAATATAGTAAAGAAAAGAAATATATAAAGAAATGACTTTTCCCTCCATCACAATAAGTATAAATCATTTTAGAAATTTATCACCTCTTGAAATACAACAAATGAACTCTTTTTCCCATATCACATCATTTATCTATAAAAAAAAAACCTTGAGAGTTTTGTTGTTCAGTACTAATGAACAAAAATCCAGTAAGAGTTACCTGAGAAAATAACATGTCTATTTTAATCTTAATCAAATAAGCCAACTTCATATTTTCTACTTTTAACAATTTTGATTATTAGTCCTTTCAAATTATGTCCTAGAACTTGATTTTCTTTTCATTTTTTTTCTTTGTCCCTTCTCACAAAATTTTTCAAAGCTTTACAAGTCTCTTTTGTAAATTTAATATAGAAAATTTATCAGGTCACTCTTTTAGTTTGTTATTTGTAATATCCCTTTTCATTATTAAGACAACAGTTGGTTCTTTTCTAATGTCCAGTGTAGCACCTTTTTCCATATCATTCTTTTAACTCGCCATTCTTTTCACCTTTCAAATCATTCTCAATCTCAATCAGGTAAAACTTGTTGCATTTCCATAACATGTTTTAAACACGGTCTATCTATAGAGGCAGACCCTCTTAAAATTAATGTCTAGGTTCATTGTTCATAAATATCCTTCAATATGCCCAATGTTAAAATATTTGCTTCATTCTGTATTAATGTCAAATTTAAGTATTCATCTCCTTTAACTGTAATCATTAGTTCCTCCCAGTTCCTTCTAAAGTGTAACCTTCAAAGTGTAATCATATTTTTTAAAATTTTTCCCACAGGAAAGTTTCTTATAACTAATTTCAAAATCTTATTTCAAATCCATCTGAACTCTTCGTCCATTTGTAACTTTTCAAAATCAAAGTTCTAATGACTCCTTTGCTGTTTATTCCAAAAGAAAATACAATTAAATCACTGAACATATATTTAGAACCTCTTTTGCTAAGGACTGAAGAAAATTTATCCAGTGCTATAAAATATGTTAATCCCAACATTTCTAAATAACTAAAAAGCAATTTCCTACAATGATTAGAAAAGGAAGTATGCGAACTCTGTGTCCTTTTGAAGGCACTGACTGTTGTTTGAGCAAAAAGCTGACTATTCCCTGATTTTCCAGAGCAATAAACCCTCTGGAGACCACTGTCTTGTGGTCTCTTCACAAGAAGTGACTCTCTGAAACACTTATAGGCAATCTCAAGTAAAAGAGCCTGTCTACTCGGCAGCTCTTCATTGCACTGTGGCTGTCACTTCCACTTTAGCAGAGTTATTTTCAGTTTGCCATTTCTTCCCCAGAACTCCAGTGTAGTACAGCCTTCAAGTATGATGGACCATGAAAAAGAATAGGCAGAAAATATTTTTAGTACAACTTTTCTCAATTTGTTGTCTTCCAGATTAAATTTCTTAATACTTATGCAGACAGCTCAATTGCCAGGCTGAATGAAACAAAGCAACTTGATCCAATATAACGAACAAGGTGACTAAGGAAGAAAGATAAATAATAAATATTTATTTCAATTAGTATCAAGCACAGAAGATCAAGAGTCAAGGCAGTTCACATCAATATAGCTTTAACAACAACAACAACAACAACAACAATAATAATAATAATAATAATAATAATAAAAAGTTGGAAGGGACCTTGGAGGTCATATAGTCCAACCTCAGGCAGGAAACCCTATACCATTTCAGACAAGTGGCTGTTTGCTGCATGTTAACGCTCTCTTCAGGAATCTGAACTACTAACAGTCAAAGCAGAATTCAAGGTTGGCTGGACATAGCTCTTTTGTGGGTACGAAGGAACTTGATGATGTACTTGATCCCTCTCTGGGACTTAGCCTGTTCATCTCCTACACTTAGTGACCAGATAAAATAGAACAGATATCTAATGGCTGAGGGATTGTGCGACTAAAATTCTGCATGAAGTGAAGGAAGATTGTATTAGTAATTAATTATTTTGTAAATTATTCTGAATTCATCTTTTGGATTAACTGGGATAAGAACATAAGAATTGTTGGATCAGTCTAAAGGTTGAAGTCATCCAGAATTTTTGACCCATTAGATGCCAAGGGGAAGCCTTAAACTAGGAACTGAATGTATTAGCCTGATATTTCTCCAGTACTAGCGTTTTTCTACATTTGAAGATTTTTTACTGCAAAATTTTCAGCCTGAGGTTTGTCATATTTTTATATTTTCTGACGTATTTTATTTTAGCACCTACTCCAGCCCAAATAAAAGTTCACAACCTATTGCGTTGCTGATGATATACTTGATATCTATGGCTCATGGCAATACCACCCCTTGGCAGGTGCAATGTGATAAAAAAACAAATAATGACGATTTGAATATTCTCCTATGTTATTTATGAGCTTACATGGTACAAGACTAATGTAGATTTTTAATTATGGGATTGCAAAGTATCAAGAATATATAATTTATTCCTGTTTTTTTTTAAAAAAAATGACTGCAGGAGCTTCCCCTTCTCCTCGACACACACCCTATGGCCAGATGAGAAAAGAGGAAGATTAGGAGTGGTTGAAAAGCAGTTATCTCCAGAGCTAAATGATCTTTAACAAAGAATTTATGGATTTGTGGGAAATGAAGGGCAACAGGGCTCTAAAATACTGGCCCATATTTCAGTTTTAGAAAAAAGAAGCAGCTAATTTATTAAAAGGAGAGGGAAATAGCTTGAAAAAAAAATTCAGTGTTAAGGATGGCAACTGCTTGCCGTGCCTTGGCACAGTTTCTTTTAAACTGAACCTTTAAAAAAAAGTATTAAAACATATTTTTTTTCCCTATCCCAATTTTTTTTTTTTTTAATTTCAGGCAACCAGTAACAAAAAACACATTTAGGCAATACAGGGTATTAGGAAAAGGTGGCTTTGGAGAGGTGAGTAAATTCTTCTTTTACAAATTCTGCACCTGTAAGGGTGGCCAATTAACTTCTGCTGATCAATCTGATCTGTTGAAACATTGAGAAATGGCATGATTTCATTCTTGCTGCGTAAGAGTTCTTAAACTTGATTCATTGGGTATGTAAGAAAGGGATAGACGTGGTCTTTTCTCTAAGTTGAATTACTATTATTCATTAATTATTAATGAATGAATTACTGATGTAGTTTTGGATTTTGGATTCTGGTCTTAACAATTGTAAGTCTCTATACTTAGTGGCTGTACAGTAGCTGTAGTCACATTTTATCCTCCCAGGCTTTGGGTGGGTTCCTCAAAGACCTTTATTAAAAACACCAATACTATTTTTTAGCATAGCAGTTTTCCAGCTATTTTTTTGCCTTGGCCTTTCCCACTTTTAGAAATGTAGTACCCCGTATTTAAGGAAATGGCAAGTGATCCTCTGTGCAAACAACCCTTATTTACAGGGTATCCCAGCTCGAGATTGTTGAAAGGAATTATTTCTCTAAATTCAGAATATGGAAAACCAGACGTCCTTTCGTCCTCCTGTTGAATGTCTGTTTAGTCTCCAGTCAAAAGAATTTTCTTAAAATCAAGATAAAATAGGGAAAAGAGATTGATTTAGCTAGGTTAACTGATCATTTGTTCTGTATCTTCTTCCCTATTGTAACTTTTCCCTTTTCAGGTATGCGCCTGCCAAGTACGAGCAACTGGGAAAATGTATGCATGCAAAAGATTAGAGAAAAAAAGAATAAAGAAGAGGAAAGGTGAATCCATGGCCCTTAATGAAAAGCAGATTCTAGAAAAAGTCAATAGTCAGTTTGTAGTAAGTATTGCCAAATTTGTAATGGGCATCAGCTCTCATTAACAGGTGTATCAGTGAATGGCACTTATAGCAAAATATATGCAGTGCTTCTGATGCTAGCTCTGTATTTTTCAGTTATTACTTTTTGCAATTGCAGTGAATTGTTATGTATCATTCACTGGAATTTGACAGCACTGTGTGGTTCCAATATAATTGTTTATGGAAAAAATGGTCCTGCAAAGAGCTCACTCTACTATGGAATGCATTCTCCTATTAGCTCTCCACAAGACCTTACCAGAGTCCAAAACTCTAGAATTTGCCAAGGCTCTTTTATTAATTGCTGCTGCTGTTGGAATGTTGAATCAGTAAATTTCCTAGCTTTTTCTTGAAGAACTAAATCTACTGTACTGTGTGTAGTATCATCTTACACATCTTATGAAAATACCTGACTATGAATGAAGGCAAATGTACGGGCCCCAAGATAATGTTGCAGGATTCAATCTGGGTTGATCACCAGGACCAGAGGTTTAGTCTTCCAAGCTTTTGGACTTGTGCCGGAGCCCGTCCTCAGAATTTCATTAAGGATGGGCTCCAGCACAAGTCCAAAAGCTCATAAGACTAAACCTCTGGTCCTGGTGACCAACCCAGATTAGATCTTGCAATATCTGCCTGCCTGTATGCTTGCCCTGTGGTCTTTTTTTTTAATAGCCAGAATTCTATCCCCTTTCTTCTTCCTTTTAACTGATGGATGTCATGTCTTTTCTAACACAAAATGCTAGTAGCTATGAGTGAATTCTAGGTATGAATAATTTTCTTGAACTATAACTATTGTTTAACAACTCTCATTCTAGGTCAATCTAGCCTATGCCTATGAAACAAAGGATGCACTCTGTTTAGTTCTAACCATAATGAATGGGGGAGATCTGAAATTCCATATCTATAATATGGGAAACCCAGGCTTTGAAGAAGAAAGAGCTGTGTTTTACGCTGCAGAGATTCTTTGTGGCTTAGAAGACCTACACAGGGAAAACACGGTGTACAGGTAAATTTTCTTGCATGCTTTCAGAAACTCACGTGCATTTGCAGCTTTGTTCCTAGAGAAATTCTTATCCTCATATAATATTTCCTGTTTCTATTCATAGCTATCAATATGTTTCTCATTACAAAAAATGCAACATAGGTGCCACATCCAAATTAATGTATGATTAGGGTTTAAATGGCAAACAGTTAAAATTCTCTCCCACCAAAAGATGTGGCCTTGAGCCAACGGATATCACACACTTTATCTTTGCAAATCTAAATAAATTAATTCCAAAATATTCTAGATCAATCCTAAATCAAAAATTAACAGAAAAAAAATAAGGTCAGCATTTTTCTTTTCCGAACATGTTCAGTTTCTCTGGAGAAAGAATTGCATTTTTTAATTTACAATTGAGTACTGGGTTACAGTAATTATAATAACATATGGTTATAAAAATTGTCATGCCAAGAAAAAAATGATAATAATCCCATGACACAACTTTTAGAAATAATGATGTGATAAAGGTTGAATAACAACATATGAAAATGATTTTTAACTATTTATACTGCAATTTAAAGTATGGGAAATGCTTTGATTTTTTTCCCCTAATGGCAAGTGAGCTACCAAAGAAAGAAAAAAGAAAAAAAAATCAGTCCTATCTCCCAGACATATTTTTCTGCACATTCATATCTCTACTCATATGCTTAGGTAAAATCTGCACAGGATTTTGCTGAGTCACTATGTTTGAGACACATAAGGAATATTCATATTGGGACTGGAGTGCCTGGCTGAGAAATTGGCTGGGACTCGTTACCTCTGTCTTTATGCTCCAGAAATTGTATTTCATTTGGAACCTAATATATGTATATATATATTGTCTTAAAAAATCAGTCAATCTATTCCAGAATATTTTGCTTGTTCCAGGTTTTGACCATAAACAAAATCCAGAGGGGTCTTATGGGGTGAGTAGAGCAAGGATGATGCGTCATCCTTCTCTCCCTTCCTCTGCCCCATGGCCTGTACCCTGGCCCATCTACCAATTTTCCCAACAGTTTTATTCCTATCTTCCCTTAACCATCTTGAATTCAAGTCCATTTCTGCCTCTTTCTCCGGGTCAAAGAGATGCCACAGTCCAGCCTTGGCCATGTAACTCCCCCCTCTCACTCCTTCCTTCTGCTGCTCCTTCTAGGCTAGAAGGCTTCTCTTCTTTTCATGGACATAAGGAGAGGTAGGGAAGGGGAAGTGCTAGGAAAATTGGGGGAAGGGTGGGCTGTATTTGAATTTTTGGGTGGCAGTAGACCACCTATCTGTCCTCAAGTTTTTCCAGTGCCTTCCTTTCCCTGTCCTCTGTAGTTGTAACTCACCATAGTTGCCCTTGAATTCAAGCATCTCCTGGCCTGCCTACTTTCTCCTCTGTGATCTTCCCAGTTGCCTTTGTCCCTAACTCACTTTAGCAATGCTACTAATCACCTTGCCTTTTTCCCACTTTCCCCAGACACAACCACTTCTGCTTGGACCAGTCACGTGCGAGGCAGATATCATGTCTTGACCCCTATTATGGATCTATGTCCAGACAAGGCATGATGTTTTGGTCCTGATGCGAGCTACCCCAAAGTGACTGTTCCATACATAAAATGCTCATCTTAGATATTATCTGTTGATGAGGAATTGTTCCTGCTTCTTTATTTATGTAATGCTTGAGGGGTTGTTATTTAGATCCTGCAAAATACTAGCACCATGGGGATTGTAATGTAAACAACCGTAACGGTTTCTGATAAAATCTGCACTTCTGCAAAATTCTCCCCATGCTTTATTCTTCACAGTTCTTTCTATCTCCATGTGATTTCCAATGCCTGAATGTTGAGTCCAAGTGCTAAATACCATTTTGATTGGGAACCTATCTGATAAAGATGCTTTTAAAGATAAATAGAACCAAAAGGCATAGATCTGAAGCATCCAAAGCATCCATCTAATAAACCTGCTTGAAATTAAAGGATAAATTGTCCCAAAGGTGCTTTTTTTTAAAAAAGGCAACTGAACTTTTTTTTCCTTGAAGATATTTTGCCTCTCATCCAAAAAGCTTCTTCCGTTCTGACTGAATGGTGGAGGATGATGGATGAAGAACGGAAGAAGCTTCCTGGATGAGAAGCAAAATGTTTGCAAGGAAAAACAAAGTCCAATTGCCTTTTGAAAAAAAGCACCTTTGGGATAACCATAACCTGGATGACTGAGAATCTCCATAGACATTAAGGGATCAATTATTTTTCATTAGAATAACTGACTATGAGAGCAATTATTTATTTACAAGATAAAGTTTATGGCATTCATTAACTCACCGAATGATTTATTACAAGGACTGCTAAAAAACTTGTAACTGTAGCTATATTATTATTTTTTAAATAGTAATATTTTTGGCAATGCTGATTTATACATATTTATACATATTTATATCTGAGGTGACAAGAGTACTCCTAAAGTGATTTTATCACCTCACTTTTATCCAGGAAGCAATTTACTTAAATAAAATGATGCAGTTGAGTGTGTTAAATAAGACTGTATATTTTCACAAATTATATTCCTAATAAATGAAGGCGAATATACACTACATGTCCCAGGATAATGTTGCAGGGTCCAATCTGGATTGGGCACCAGGGTCAAAGGTTTTGTCTTCCAAGCTTTCAGATTCATGCTGGGGCCCATCCTCCGGGAGCTTCTCTCTAGCACACTCTGCTAGAGAAAAGTTCCCTGAGGACGGGCTCCAGCACGAATCCGAAAGCTTGGAAGACAAAACCTTTGGTCCTGTTGACTGACCCGGATTAGATTCTGCTATATTCCTAACATATGAAAATTATGTGGATAAAATTATTGCCCTAAGTTTATGACACAAGAATTGTCTAGAATACAATTCAAGTTGACCATCAGACTAACTTGCAGTAGAAAGGGTCCTGAAATTCTCCTTTTCAGTATTTTAAATTGTTTTCATTAAATGATTTAAGCATTGCCATTATTTGGAAGTAAATCTTAATTATTTTTCCCCTATTAATCACTGAGGAACTTTTATTTGTTCAAAATATATTATGCAGCACTATTTGTTATTATAAGCAAAAGCACATGAACTAAGAACATTTTGATTGTCTTCTTTTTGTTAGTTTAAATTCCTATTGACCTCACAAGATAAACTTCACAAGATAAACCAGTGCTAACAAGCCTACTTTTAAAACAAATAATACTGAGAAAATATGTGAAGGGAATGAGGATGTAAAATGGATGGCTTTATTTTAAATACCACCAAACACTTATTCTTAGTGTTTAACAGGCACATGTTAGATTAATGTGATAAAGATTGTTCTCAACATACTTTTTCATCTTAATTTTAAACACTTCCTTGATCTGGATGTCCTAACCCATTGCTTTCTCCCACATTGGCTGTAGACATTTAATGTTGGAATCAACACTACTATTAAGTAGAGTGAAGCGATTATTTCAGGCATTGGATTCTGAAGAAAGGAAGAAGTATTTGCAACTCCACAAAACATAATGACTGTGCTTTTTGAGTATCTGTCCATTCACAAGACCTGTTAAAACAGACCTCATGCATATATCCAATCAATCAATCAGAACAGAGATGGAAGGGACCTTGGAGGTCTTCTAGTCCAATCCCCTGCTCAGGCAGGAGTCCCTATACAATTTGAGACAAGTGGTTGTCCAGTCTTTTTTAAAAAACCTCCAGTGATGAAGCACCCACAACTTCTGAAGGCAAAACTAATCCACTGGTTAATTGTTCTCACTGTTAAGAAATTTCTCCTTAATTCCAAGTTGCTTCCCTCCTTGATTAGTTTTCATCCATTGTTTCTTGTCTTGCTTTCTGATGCTTTGGAAAAAGACTATAACTTGCATCTGGATTCGTTCATAATGGACAAGAAAGATTAATGTGAAGCTAACTCCTTTCAGAGAACTTCACATTCAATCATCCTACATTTTTTAAACAAAAATCGTTAATAGCTTTCATTGCAATTTCTCAATTGCAGAGAAATTGACATATAGTTTTCCTATAGCCCAAACTAATCTTCTAGTTCAGGCTTTCCCAACCTTGGCAACTTTAAGATGTCTGGACTTCCACTCCCAGAAGTCCTCCAGTCATGAATTGAAGTCCATATATCTTAAAGTTGCTAAGATTGAGGAACACTATTCTAACTGCTGCTGCTATACACTATGGCTAGCTAGAGAACCATACAAAATACTCTGCATGATGTCCTCATTGGTCACATCCAGCTGAAGTGAATGGCCCGAGATTATGGTAGACACTGATTTTCATATTGCTGCAAAGCCATGTTTTTCATTGACTTTCTGAATTCTTTTACTGGGTAAACTGACACCCTACTGCCTAAATGGTTGGAAAGTGCATTCTGATGCTTGGAATTTTCATTTTATCAAAGCAATTTCCACAGAAATAACAGCAGCGTTTCTTTTTTTTTTTTTAAAGAGATTTGAAGCCAGAAAATATCCTGTTAGATGATTATGGTAAGTCTGAGAGCTTTAGGTAAAACGTTTTTGTCTACAGTAAAATGGCTTATATATAGTTGTCTGTACACAGCCAAATCATTCTCTGCAAAGGATAAGAAGTTAAACCAGTGGTTCTCAACCTGTGGGTCGGGACCCCATTTGGGGTCAAATGACCATTTCACGGGGGTCACCAAACCATGCTGTCTGCCATTTTTTTCCCTTTTCCCTAGCTGTCCTACTCCCTCTTATTGGTGGCCACACCCACTTGGGGGTCACCACAACATGGGGAACTGTATTATGGGGTCACGGCATTAGAAAGGTTGAGAATCACTGAGTTAAACAATAACCAACCTTTAACTTTGGGTAGAGAAAATAATGGCACTTTTGCGAAAAAGAGAAAGAAACCTTATGAAAAGAAGAGCATCTTAGGTTAATATTACAAAGGTTTATACAAAGGTTGTATTTTCTCTTATCCATCATTGAAGGTGACATAATATGTGTGTCATTTCTCTGAGGATGGGCTTCACACTTCTTGGCCTTATGACTATAACAAAACAACATTGCTACCTGGATAAACAATGGGAATTGTGTCTTTGACCAATCAATATTATTACCAGCTTAAACAATGAGAAATAATATGGGCTTCAAGAATGAAAGATGGGATGCCTGACTGTTTTTTATTTCAAATGCTTGTCAGAGTTAATACCCACTCCCAATTCAATTACATTGAATTATTTGTTCTATTTATATTTGTACAGATTAATCCATCAGCTCAGCAACTTTCTGAATTGAATAGAGTCATGAACAGCAAAATATACAGCCTTTACCTGAATCCCTTCTCATTTGAAACTCATAAATAATATTACTCTGTTAGTCCTTCATGCAAGGCAAAGTTCTCCTTGTTGCAGAAATGATCTGATCTCAGTGAAGAAGTGCAAGGCTTCTGGTCCAATCCCCAATTAAAAGACCTATAAAACAGGATGGAATATAACCCACAGAACTAAACTTTTCTTCCTCCCCCCATCATGGCCCCCACAGTCTCCTCTGACTGTGATTGCTGAACATGGGTGGTACAGTCTCCTCTAATTTTGAGACAGATGTACAAGAAGCTGATAATGTAAACTTACTTACATTTTACTAGCTATAATGTACTTTCAAAAAACAAAAATCTCACTTTTTTCTAGTTTTCTTTTTTGAAAGCCAGGTGGAATAATTGTATAATCCTATCCCTGCTCATGTGTGGGATGTATCACCTTCAGCTTGGATTTTGTCCCTCCCATAGTGAACAAATTATCTTACCTTCCATCTGTAGACATCAAAAGGTTGCCCATCTCTGTAGGAATGAGTAGTATATGAGACATGGAAAATCTGTTACTCCAAGTAAACAAAATAGCCAAAATAGAAAACAGTCTGATGAAATAAATATTTAAGTATGACATATTTCATTGCTTATCATTGGTTTTTGTTTTTTCTTTTTTTGCTGTGAAGGACAGTAATATTAGGGGTGGGTAGGATAAATATATATTTATGTATTTATTTATAAAAAGTATTGGCTGCCCATCTTACCATAGGGTAACTCTGGGCAGCTTACGTTACATATATAGTTAAAAAGTTAAAATCAGACATTAAAACCGAGGACACATGGGGACAGCAGGGGCGGAGTGGGGGGGGGAGATGGGATCTGTTATTAATCAACCAGTTCCATTGCACTGTTCCCCCACTGGGGCCCTAAGCCAACTGGCAGAGCCACCTTTTTAGGCCCTTACAGAAAGATAGAGTGAGATGACTGAATAACTGGGTGCAGGAAATAATAAAAATGCTCGTAATTTGAATTGGTCAGTTGGTTTGCTTCATGGGCAGTAATCTTATATTACAGGAAGGCAAATCTTACAGAATATTAGGACATAGTTCCTAAAGGTAAAAATAGTTTGACAGTCAAGGAATGTGAGCAGCCATATTTTAAATATGCTTGGATTCCTTTCACTAAGCAAGGAATTACATTTGATGGTATAAATGATTCATCCCAATTCTACCATTTCCCACCTGTGATTCCAGGGTTTTTTTCCCCATCTCGTGGAAAGGAATAAAATTACGTAAAATCCTGCAGTTTTGCTTTTCAGCCAACTTTTGCTTTTCTGGGATGAAAACCCTCTGGCATAGCATCCTTTCAAGGGGATTTTGAAGAAATTAAATGCATTAAAAAAGTGTTGTTCAATGTTTAGTGCAAACCAAGATTAACATTCTTGAAATTCTCCCTACTATCTAAGACCATCTCATGTTGAAGCTTGCACTTTTATCTGAAAGCAGAGGGACATTTGGCCAGCCCTGATATCAAGCAGTTTCCTTGATCAATTTTTCAGATGAGTTCCTCCAAAGAACTAGTATCATTTTCTTCCCCGCAGTGTTTAGATTTGTTTTAATAATGTATTTAATAGCAAAATGATTGTTTTCTACAGATTTATGCTCAAGCTAACTTTTCTCCCATTCACTTTAGGCCACATCAGAATATCTGATTTGGGTCTAGCTGTTAAAATTCCTGAGGGTGAGTCTATCCGTGGACGAGTAGGAACAGTTGGTTATATGGGTGAGTGGTCTGAAATACTCTGTTGTTTTCAACTTCGAAGACTATTATTTCAACTCTGTAATGTAAAAGAAAAAACAAACTCTGTTCATGCGTGATAAGCTGTCACAATTCAGCATGACTGAACAGATGACTGAATCTCTGATATGTAGGATCACTTGACCAAGTCACAATTCTTTGTGCATTCTCCCCTAAGTGCTTGAGTGCAAAGGCAGTATCCCCTAAATTGGGTTTATATAACACTCAGCATTGGTAAAAATTAAACATGTATTTATTTAATAAGAACAGTGCATGAAATAAGCAATTGTGAGGATTGTCAGTAAACATGGCGTCCATGAATGGCCTTTGGAAGAACAAGATAGCACTCGCCTAATGAACCATTTGAATATTTTCCGGCATTTAGAGTTTCTGAACTATCAGTGTCAGCACCCTGTTGTTTTAAAGCTATGTCCTAGATGCTTTTATGTCTTGATTCCTGCCTCCACCCCTTCCCCGCAACAGCTATAGTTGTCAGTTTATACTTCGTATCAAACTTTGTATTGCAATGGGCTGCAGAGGAAAGCATTTAATGTAGGAATTGCTTTGAAATTTTTTAAGTAGTTTATTTTCATTCTTGATAATTTTAATGAATTTCTCTAAGCTGAATGACGTGTGAAATAGCATCCATAGATTCTCCAGGCATATATTTTTTATTCGTAAAACTTAGTAAATATTAAACCTCATGCTTCAGAGTACTTAAAAAGAAAAGAATGGAAATGAGATTATTGCATATAAATGGCACTAAGATTTCAACTTAAGTCAGAGATGGGCATCTGAGATTATTCCCTGGGTCTTGTGCACCCTTAGCACCCCTTTTACAGTCCCTGGAGCCCCCTCCCACTACACTACTAAACACTGGGGATACAGTTGCTTGCTGTTTTCAGGTAGCCAAAATCATGTCATAATCACATGAGAATATGATATGATTTAAGCAAATTAGAAAATTCACATCATTTGCATGTGTGAAATCATTGTGGCTTGTACCAGATTCCAGTGTGAAACTGGAGTCTAATTTCATATCACATATAGTAATGTGACTTGTGTGATAAATAAAACTAATTAAATATAGACTATTATTAGGGGCAAGCTTATATGGTACCCATATCCTTTACAGATCCTTGAAAAATTCCATTCTATATTTTCTAAGGGGGCAAAGCAGTGGTGGGATTCAGCCGGTTCGCACCACTTAGCTAATTTTTTGTTGCCCAGGCCCAGAATGGACTTCTGGAAGCGGCATCCACACAGAGAACCAGTTGTTCACATATTTGAATCCCACCACTGGGGCAAAGTAAAGTAGTTGGAATGATTCAAATTATCCAAGCTGACAGACACCCTTGTGTACTGTGTAGTATAGATTATCACAGGGTGAATAGGTCTCCATTCCTAGATGGAGATTTAAATCCTGGAAATATATATTTGAACTATCACGGAGAATTATTTCCAACTATGCGGAAGTGAACCTACACAAATGGCTTAATTTTATTATTATAATTACCCGTGAAACAAGTTCCACTGAGCGCCCTCCTAGTATCAAATTGATCCTTGGCCAGACTAAATGGAATCTCTTATTTCATTCTTGCCTCAATAGTCATGCTGACATCAGTATAGACATAGCAAACTTTTTCCATTGTCTCTTTCCTTTTTCCCAGCTCCAGAAGTCTTGAATAACCAGCGATATACCCTTAGCCCTGACTACTGGGGGCTAGGCTGCTTAATCTATGAAATGATTGCAGGACAGTCACCCTTTCGAGGAAGGAAAGAAAAGGTGAAGCGGGAAGAAGTAGACAGGAGAGTCTTGGAGGTGGAAGAGGTGTATTCCCATAAATTCTCTGATGAGGCAAAGTCTATCTGCAAAATGGTAAGGGGGTCACTTTGTGTGAAAATCAATTAGTAGACTGTTAATGATCAGATAATTATGGGACAATGATTAAGATACTGTGGAAAAGCTTTTTCAAATCTGGGGTCATACAGATGTATTGGTCTTTAACCCCCCCCCCTAGTCCTTGAGCAGGAATTCTAAAATCTGAAGTCCACTGCGTGTGAAGTGACAATGTTGAGGTAGTAGGCCCTTTGCTGAACACGGCTCTAACAAATGTTACATTTTGCTACCTTCTAGAACAGGGCTTTTCAACCAGTGGCATGGGTACCACCTGTGGTACATTGGCACTTGGCAGGTGGTACGCGACCATCCCAGAAAAGTGGTAGCAGGGGAGGAGAATGAGCTGAACCAATGGCAGCACTGCACAAGCCTGAGCAAGAGATAGTTGGAGCTGCAGGGCTGTCAGGGCTGAGCGGAGGCGCCAGGATCAGAGCCGCTTTCCAGCTGATTGGCGCTTCTTCGGGACTATCAGGGCTCAGCGGAAGCACCAGGATCAGCACCAGGCTCCAGGTGGAGCTCGGCACTGATCCTGGCGCTTCTGCTGAGCCCTGAAGAAGCACCAATCAGCTGGAATGTTGCAGCATCTCCAGGGTCTTATGATTTACATTCAGATGCTTGGCAACTGATCCATATTTATGACGGTCACAGTGTCCCAGGGTCATGGGAAGTGACCAAAACCTGCTGCAACCACCCAGCAGATGGAGGGAATAAAAACCAACCCACCCCCGCTGGCAATCCTCAACAGAAATGCTCACAACAATTAAAACCTTGGACAGGAGGAAGAGCCCGGGTGGGCAGGCAGGTGTCTTGCTCGGCTGTGGCTTGGGGGGCACTTTTTTCAGTGCCATTGTAACTTCGAACAGTCACTAAGCAAACTGTTGTAAGTCGAGGACTACCTGTACTTTATCACTTTTTTCCTTTTTTTTTTTTTTTTTTGGTCATCAAGTTTTTGACACCTTGCTAGGCGACTGGTGGTACTCGGATATTGCCGTATCCTAAAAGTGATACAATGGGTGGAAAGGTTGAAAAGCCCTGTTCTAGAACCAGCCCCAGTTTTCACAAGTTTCTTTCCCCGTGTTTCATTCATTTATATAATGAAAGCTGTCAATTACTTTTGTTTACCTTTCCATGAGATGTGTTCCCCCTTCGGTAAGATGTGCATTTTGAAATGTTTCCCACTACAAATACTTCCTTGCCTCCATGAGTTCTAAATTACTGAAGTTATACCAAGCCAGACTGCTGATCAGGCTCGGTGCTATCTACAATGATTTCTCAAACTCAAACTTGCCGCTAAGCTGTTTTTCCACTTGGAAATGACGGGACTGAACTGCCTAAAAAAGATATATTTCACCATTAAACCAGACGTCACCAGAATGGAGGTCATACTTGTTCATATCTGAAAACAAGCTGCCTTCGTTTCTTGGGATCCATTTGCTGGAACTCTCCTTTGAGAGAGACCTTATTTTTGTAGCCACTGTCCCAGATCACTTCTGAGCACCACCCAGGGCAAGCTTGCTAGGCTTGTGACTTTCTTCACTAGAATCACCAAGGATAGCTTTCAATAGGTCCCTTTCTTGGGGTATTGTACAATAAAACATTGATCAATTGCTGTGATAAACTTGAACTAAACTGGGGCATCATACTGAATTCTGGAGTGAACCTGCCTGCTTGAATGCAGCCCATTCTCTGTATCAGTTCTTGGAAAAGAAGAATATCTAATGTTGGAAGACTGGGCTGAGCACTAGGCCCAGCATGACATCCATCATGGAGAAGTTAAAAGAAGAGTAAGGGGGAAGGTGGGACTAGACAAAAGTGTATTGATCTTGGATAGATTATTTAGGAAGGCACTCAGGAATAGGTTGAAGCTATAATAGGAATCAGTTCTGAGATGACAAAATTCATTGAAGGCAAATCCTGGTCTCGGGAGTGAGTTGTGTCAGATATCGAATGTTGAAAATACAAAATTTTAACACAGAAACCAGAGTTCCAAAATGCAGTTTGTTCAGGCAGGAAAACAGGATATCTGTCTTACTCAGAGACCCTGTCCAAGCATATTCTGAAAGTTTTATTCATAGGTAGACACACACATTCTGAGGTTATGGTTAGCACCATGACGTCTGAGAAGCCCTGTTTTATATCTCTTTTCTGTAAAGATACAGTTTGTCTTACCCTTATTTCAGAAGTTGTGGGAAATTAGAATCTACCATCTTTTCATGCCTTAAGCCAGTTGCATAGGGGAATGGGACAACTTGCCACAGCCAACTCGCCGTGGGACAGCTCACTGCAGGACAATTTAACAATTCTATTTAATTATTTAAAATAAATAAAAAAATACTTTAAGTTTTGCCATTCACATTTCGTTCTGTCCCTCCTTTTGCATCCTTTCTTTAATGATACTGTTCTATCATTTCTTTGATATTAGTGTAACTTTTGTCCCACAGCTTGTTGTCCTGTGGTGAGTTGGCCATAACAAATTGGCGAATTATCATAGACCCCATTGCATAGTCTGGTCCAGTAGGCAGATATTTTACATCCACGTTTTTCTGGTTACAAAATCTTCTGTTGTGAATTGCTATGTAGCAAGTTCAACGTGACTCATTGCTTGTTCTTAGGAATTCACTGTCATTGTATAATATTTTTAATAGCTTTTTTTTTAAAGTTTGCTGAGAGGACAATACATTTTTATTTCAAAATTAGATTTCATCCCAGTTGACATTTAACTCAGTTATCATGGACAGGGATCCTTGAGTGACCAGTATAGCGTATTGAATACAATTTTGGAGTGGGCCTGGGGAGGCCCAGATGGAACTCCATAGTGAACTGCATAGCTCACAAGCTTGCTGCAGAGTTAAAGTGCAAGGAGGCTGTGATCTTTTTGAAATGTAGGGATAAAAGTGAAATAAATTAAAAGGGATCTCTCTACAAGGCTCTCTCCATTAATTTCACCAATGAAAGGCTTCTTTTTTTCTGCCGATGATGAGCATGTTGGAAAAAAAAAACTGAATCAAAGGAATTTCCTAAGGCTTTTTTGATTCTTACTACTATCCACTCGCTAAATTTCCTATACTGCCACTTTCAGAATGGTGTTGTGTTCCAGTAAAACACAGTTCAGCAACACCCTCTGAAATGACCATGACTTTGAAACTGTGGATGCCTTGATGCCAACACTGACACATGCAGGAAAATCTTAGAGGTTTGTTCCATTTGCTGTGTGTCATCCACCCATGCCTGCTTTTAAGTACTGAATACGTTCACAGTTGGATCCAAGCACAACCAGATCCAAGTTCTAGAAACAAGGGTCACTGTTGAAAAATTCCTGTGATGTTTCCTAACGTCAGTAAACGGTGTTTGTAAACTAAATGCTCCAGTAATATGCTGTGCTGGGATACTGTAATTAGTGTTCCCTTTTCATTTAGATTTGTCTAGCTTTGGGAACATTTTAGCTGGAGAATTTTCCAGAATCATTTGCCAAATCTTGGCTGGTGTGTGAACGCATCTACCTGCTTCGGTTCCTTCAGACTGAAGAATGCTTATAAAAGTAATCTGGTTAAGCAATTGGAGGAAACCAACTGCAGTTAACTTTCTATTACATGTGTTGCTGAGGTCTAATTACATAAATTCCATTATTTTAATGATTTTTAAATTGCAAGTTTATAGAAATATTTCATGCTTATGCTTTCCATATTGTTAACTTTTCTATTGCTGCCCTCTACTGGTCGAAAGGTGAACATCCTCTGGAAAAATCTTTAAAATCTGTTTTCCTCATCATTTTTACAATCAATGAAGGTAACAGTCTCACCGCATATGTTTGCTCAGAAGAGTCCAGTTGAGTCAAACCATCTTTTCCTTAGTTTATTTTTGTTACTGAATGAAGCTTGACATTACTGGCCCATAATCATTGAGCTACCTTAGTTTCTAATATTCCTCAGTGAAATTCCTTTAGCTTTTCCCCCTCAAAACAAGTAATAAGTAAGAAGACTGAAATAAAAACCAGTAACATAGTATATACTTGGCAGAATAATGTAATGCAGTGTTTCCCAAACTTGACAATTTTAAGGCATGTGGACTTCAACTCCCAGAATTCCACAGCCAGCGTTGCTGGCTGTGGAATTCTGGGAGTTGAAGTCCTCATGCCTTAAAATTGTCAAGTTTGGGAAACACTGATGTAATGTAATGCAGCTCCAGGATTAATGATAATATTTGTTGAATGCTAGAATAATTCTATATCTCAGTTACTGTAGCTGCCAGATGAGTGAGGTAATAATGAGGCTTTCAAGTTCTACTACTCATGAGTACTGCATATGATTTATAACTTCACATTACCTATTTAAATGCTAACCTTTTTTTCTGCAAAACGGTTTATACTTCTAATTAGAAGCTGAAACTTCACTTCAGCCAACTGAACATTATCTCAGATTGTTGGGGGCAATATGCTGATTCTGTAAACCAGAGGTCCCCAACCTTTTGGGCACCAGGGACTGGTTCTGTGGAGAGAGGTTTTTCCGCAGACAGGAGAGTGCGAGGGTTTGTGTGTTGCCTGCATCCTATGGATGGGGCTTTGCTTGTTTGTGCAGATCGGTTGCTGGCATGCTGCGACCCGGTACCAGTCCACAACCGGGAGTTGGGGACCCCTGCTGTAAACCACTTAGAGAGGGCTGTGAAGTGGTATATAAGTCTAAGTGCTATTGCTATCTCTCTAAGTCCACTGTGTTACACATATTGAAGGATGAAGCACCTTGGAGATCAATGGAACTTATTCCCAGCTAACAATTTTTCAAGGAGTTTAATCTTCTGATCTTAATAAATTGGATTCTGTAATAGGGCAGTGCCTACTTTGAAAATTATTAGGAAAAACTTTGGACCTCACACAAGCATTGTACCTCTGTTTGATTCCTTAAAAACACCTAACAGTCTTGCCAGCCAGGAAAAAAAAAAGTGAATAAAAGGGATGTGACTCTTAAAAGCAGCAACATCTTTTATTCAGGACTGTACAGAAGTATGTATAATGAGTGGTTTTAAGGAATATTGAAAGGCATTCTATTGAGATGAGGTTTGAACATTTCAACCCAAACATACCCAGTCATACTAAATAGTGTTGCTCTTTAAAAATTGTGGGGGGGAGAGAGATTATATTTATTTTATAATTAAATTTATATGCTGCGCATCTCGCTATCCAAAACCTTAATGAGCTCTGGAATTTTGTGCTCTGCAGATCCAAGCCTCAAAGCTCTTGAAGACTCTGTCTCTTTGCTTGATCTAGTGGACTTCAAGAAGTTTGCACCCTAGATTTGGTAAATCTAAATCTAAATCTAGTGGTGCCCAGAATTTCATGTGTGGCTATTGGTAAAGATATAAGGCAGACAATAATTGGCATTCACCTGCCCAAGCATTCACAAGTAAATCTATCATTCATTCATTTGTAGATTTGTAAGCTACTATTTATCTTCATATATACCATCTTCCTTGAATTTTCCCCATCAAAATAACCCTATGAAGTAACTTGGGTTGATTGATTAACCCTAAGTAATCTGGTGAGACTTCCCAATTGAGATTGGAGTTAAATCTACTCCCACTCTATTTAAACTTTCAGCATCAGTTTATTCTGGCTCTCAATAACTCTGGAGTAGGAGATAAAATTTTAGGAACTCTTAATAATTCACCAGGCATAATTCTATAAAACATGGTTAAGTTCAATAAGTTAATCTTGCTTTTGAGGCTTGAAATGATTATAAAGGAATTTCTTGAAGGCCATTGACAATATGAGATTAGGCATACACAGATCGGATTATGAGAGCTAAATAAAATAAATAAGCCAAATAATTAGAGTTAAGATAGAGAATTAATATGAGTTATTTTATAAACTATTGATAAGATGATTAAATATATTTAGTAAGTATGAGTCCAACTTTTTTCAATACATATATGAAAATAAGAATTAATAGTTGCATAGTAGCTCCAGCAAATGAAGATAATGAAATGAAAGAACCTGGGAAAATTTTTGAGAAAAATTACACAAATTTGTGCAATTTTCCTCAAAATTCCTTTGTGCTTTATCATACTTAGCCACATAAAATATTCAGTTCAATTCAGCTTCCTGATTAAGGCAGTCTAGAGAAAAATCATGCTGCTAGAACACATGTATAGATAATTGGGAATGAAATAAGAGTGTAGAAAAAAATGATTAGGCAATTCAGGGGATTGAAAATGTAAAGATTTCATTAATTATTTGCCTAAAAGAAATCTGTGTATTTCTAAATCTGGTTTAGGTTTAAGTCATTAATGGATGCATGTGGAAAAAGAAAAGTGAAGAATTGGTGGCGTGGTGGTGATGATATTGAAGAGAGAGAATGCTAGAAGGACTATTTCAGAGGCTGGTATGGGAATGATAGTAACATGTCAAAGAGTGGAACTGAAATATATTATAAATGTTAGTGTCCAAGAATAAAATGCTGAAAAAGAAATAATAAAGCTTTAAAAACAAATATAGATGATGTAAAAGCAGAAATATGGGTATGGTTGCCAATGAAGTACAGTGTGATTTATGTAGCATGTGTTTAAAGATTGCATCTGTGTCTGACAAGTGGCAGAACACTGTTATGGTTTCCTTATAGAAAGCAAAAGATCACAAGAGTAGATACAAAAATAATAATAAAAAACCACAAGATAAGTTTCTTCAGTTTACCCAGAGGGGTACTTGTTAGAATTCTGATTAAAATGATGTCAGAAGTAGCTCAAAATTCTCAAACTAAATTTGAGAAGTACAAAGAATATTTACAATAACATTATGTATACAGTAGTCTCTGTTGCATCAAGGCCAGGCAAGACAACAGTGGCAGCCAGCAGTGTCTACTGGGGGGTGGGGGTGGAATGGGCGTCAAACTGAAGAAACATCACCATAGTATTGTGATACACATTTTATACCTGTTCCAAAAGGACAGGGACTGTGACATGACATTATAACACTGCTTTCAATATTGCAATGAAAAGGTTTTTAAAATAATGTTATTTCAATTTTTAAAAGAGAAATACAGAAAAAACCTATAAGAAATAAAGTACATTGGAATAAACAGTAATATCAAATTAATTAATTATGAATTGTAATATCATCACAGATCCCTTAACATTAACTCCAACTGGGTCTGGAGAATACACCTTAGTATAATTATTGTCTGCATAATACCTAATCAGAACTCACCAGGCGTTCTTCACTGGGACTCACCAGGAGTGGCCTATTACAAGGTGACCCACAAAGTGATTTGCTACAGCTTGCTGATTCCAAAAGGGACACCATTTTCATCTTGTCACAATTTTCACCTACTTTTTTATGCTATATATTGTGTTAGTTTCATTTCATGGGCAAAATGCAAAAGATAACAATGCCTAAATTCCAAACATGAGATTCCTCTTATTAATTGCTGGACTGTCACATATTTGGCTTTATTTTTATTAAATAGCAAACTATGAATGACAAATGAATTTTTATATGTGCACTCCTATTAGGATATAGAATGTTTGGGTTTCTCTGCATGCAATATGATTCAACAAATATTTTCTGATTATTGTCTTGGCATCTTTTCAGCTATTGACCAAAGATATGAAACTGAGGCTGGGATGTCCGGATGATGCTGCTGAAGTAAAGAGTCACCCGTTTTTCAAGAGCATGAATTTCAAACGTCTCCAAGCAGGAATGTTGGAACCCCCTTTTGTCCCTGATGTAAGTGATGCTTAAAAGAGAATTACAGAGCTGAAGTAGAACTTGAGGATGTATTTGACCTACTGCTTGAATCTGTATTTTTAACGTTTGCAGTCTATCATCCTTGAGAAGCTATTGAAACTGTACTTACAATGGTTGAAATCTATCTTCCTTGAGTTAGGGTCATATCTTAACTTTGGATGTCTGTGTCTAATAATTTTCACTCCATCAGTGATTTCATAACAGTGTTTTGGATAGGCAGCCTTACACAAGAGTCTTGTGCTCTTCAGATGTTTTTTGCCCTCATCTATGCCGTGTTTTCAAAAGTTATATCAGTTGTTAACTTATTATTTGCTAGCCATTAATAGTGAGGTCCCTAATGTTCAGACACCTCAGCTGATACTAGTCAAGCTCCATACCCCGCTCTATTTTAAAGAAATAATTAAATATTATTTTAATGTAAAACAAAATTACTGTGGAAACTAGCAGAGTGCAAAGGAAAGTATTAGCTTCCAGAATTATCTGTATTTTCAAAAAAGCCCATAGATATCCCCAAAACTATTTTTATTTTATATGGAAGTTTCAGCCTAGTGCTTCTTTTGTAGTATATCCAGCAGCCCATGAAAAGGGGAAAAAAATCCCTCTGGTTTGATAGAGATGATATCAAAGAACAGCCTCATATGTTTGCCTTCTAAATGGGTTTTGAATGCTTTGGCTATAGTTAGCAGAAGCAAATACTGGAACATCTTAGTTGTTTTGGGCTTAACTAAAGCAAAATCCAGAGGGATGTGGGAGAGATTATGCAGGGTGAGTAGAACAAGACTGGGGTGGTATCATACCTTCCTTTCCTGTCATCCTCTGCATATTCGAAGTGCTAGCCTTCCACTCCCCACTCCCTCTTCCTAGTGTGTGTTCCCTCCTTGTCTCTCTTCAGCTGCTGCTGTCCCAAAGGTCCCAGCGTGGCATCACTCATTTGCCTGTCCTGTGATCTCCCCAGCACTGTACCTCCCTTTCCTTTGTTCCCTGCTTTCCTCAGCTGCCAGTGTATGCCATTCTCAAGGAAATCTTGGCCTTCTCTTGCTCTTGCTCCTCCGCATGATTTCTGCTTTTTCTGTGGAACTACCCTATCTGTGTTGCAAAAACACAAAAGACCAGAAGATGGCAGCAAAGAATTAGATATAGTTTTCAAATCCTTTTGCTGCCCTCCCCTGGTTGTGTTTTGAAGATCTGATAGCCTTCTGACTGTTCCAAAAGAAAACAGGATTAAAAAAAAATAGTGGAAGTGGAGGACCCTGTGTTGTAGATAAAATTCTCAGAGTGATAACCCTCTTTCCCAAAGGAAAAAGCTGTTCCATGTTTTTTTTTTTCTTTTCAAAAAAGCAAGCAACCTTCAAGGAGAAAGTGAATAGATTTATGAATGCTGTGGGAAGAGCAGCAGATGAACTCAGAAGGATCAAGTTAACCTTGGGGAAAGTAGCATGAGTAGCTTGGAGAGTCTGGATAGGCTTAGAAGAATTGGACAGACTTGGAAAGATGGAGTGTATGAAGGGTGGAAGGGCATAAAGGGGCTAGATGAAGGTCAGTGCAAGGGCAGGAGGGCACTGAGTGAGTGAATAAAAGTGATGAGGAAGTGGGAGGAAGAGCATGCAAGCAAAAGTCTGGGGGATCTAGACGGTTTTGGACAATGCACTCCTTTGACCCAGGGGCATGGACTTTTTGCATTTCTGTTTGCCCAAAGCAAGCAATGTTCTGAATGACCTCAAATAGCACCAACCACATGTTCAGACTCTTACTATTTCTTTTCCTGCTGGGGTAGCCGAGAGCAGTGTACTGCAAAGATGTGTTGGATATTGAACAGTTTTCAACTGTCAAGGGAGTAAACCTGGACCAAACAGATGATGATTTCTATTCCAAGTTTTCTACAGGGTCTGTATCTATTCCATGGCAAAATGAGGTAATTATATATTTACCCCTGTTTCCCTAAAAACCTTTCTATAAATCTTTCCAAATTTCATAAATGCCAAGTATATACTTGAAATATTCTAAATACCTTATTTCCTTACCTTGGATATACTCTGCAGCATTTTAAAATAAAAAAGCCCTGTTGCTTTAATGTTTGAAAACCAGTTGTGTGATTCTTTCGAAATGTGTGGTTCTGAAAATTCAGACATGGTTCTTTTGCAGACAGGACTACAATGATCGGATGATAAAAAGCTAAAAACAACTTTCTATAATGAAAAACATGTATTGCTTTCAGGTGCAAAAGTTAGTTAACTGGGATTAGGACCAGCTAATGTTTAGTTTAGTTTTGCTGTGTCTCACCATTGTTGCTATTTTTAGTTAAAGTAACCCTCCAGATATGGAAGATTTGTATCATCCTGAGCAAGTTGAACAAAATAGCAATTGTATTAGAATAATAAAACAGTAGAGAAAAGTGTCCTAAATTTTGAGAAAGTTGCAAGCCATTCTAAGTTGTGGCAGGGGTCTATTCTCTGAGCTTGCTTTTTAGCTCCCAGATGTTTTGTTACCAGACTAGGTAACATCTTCAGCAGGGACTTGGGGTGAAGTGTCTTGTTCATTTATATAGGTCCTAGGTGGTCAGTTGGTCTCACAATTCACAAGGCCAATTGAATCACAAGACTGGTTGAATCACAAGACTGATTCTGGTCTTCTGACTGATTGCTGTGAGGTGCAGAATCCAGTTGGTGAAGGGATGATCAGTTCTCTCATCGGTTGGTGATTCGGATGGTCTGCTTCCTTATCTGTCCGTTTGCTGGTTCTAAGTCAATGTGTTTGTTGATGGACCTGTTAGTAAACTCACGTGCCTGATGGATTTTGGCCTGGCCGATGACTTTGGCTTCGTCTCAGTCAAACTGGTGTTGTTGGTTGTCAGCATGACTGGTGATCAGGGACTTCAGGTCATGCCATTTGACAGCCAGCTGGTGTTCATAGATTCTGATTTTTAACTGACATCCTGCCTTCCTGACGTAGATCTGGTTGTTCTTCCTATCAGCCATCCCAGCATAGCTAAGGGGGAAAAAAATGCTGGAGCCACAGATGATAATATCGTGGTGATTATCAGCAGAGGAATACAGGGAGGCAAATAACGAAACTTGTGACAAGATATTGCAGCACAAGTCCATGACATATGTGTGACTTCATAATACAAACATGAAATACTAAGTTTGGACTACAATACCTCAACACATGTTATCATCTTTGGTTAGCATTGGATATTTATCCTTATCAGATTATTTACTCCTAATATTTACAAAAGATGTGGGAGGTCCTCAGTCTGGGCACGTTGTATTTCCTGATTGTGAGATCCCTTTGGGAGAAGTGATTTCACATTTCACAAACAACCAAAAAAACTCACTTCTCACTTTAAATCCAAAGATTTTCTGACAATTACCAATATATACTCTTTCTTCCTATTGCATTTGGAGAAAAAAAATTCAAAATAACAATTACATGAAACATTTTCTCTTTTTGATCAACTTATTTATCTAATGGTAGCTTTGATCCATGTGGTAGTTAACTTCTTACAATTCAACTTTTCCAACATAGCGCCCTTCAGATATGTTGGCAATTCTTGGAATTTTGCTGCTTAATAATCCTGGAATCCTACATATCTGAAGAGCCCCAATCTTGGAAGATAACTAGGAAGCACTCATTCTTCTATACGTGTGTGATGCATGTGCATGTGTGAAGAGGCATATTAATTCACTATCTAGTAATACTCCTCTGTGTAAAAACTGATGGTTGTATTTTATATTTTAATGCCTGTTTGATTGCTAATTATTTATGACAGAAAAGAGGCATACCACTTCCTTCCATTATATCTTGTATTTCACTTCTAAGTTCATGTATGATAAAGTGATTAAACTACTAGGTAACCAGGTTTTAATTTCTGCTCAACCATGAACTTTACTGTTTGACTTAAGATGAATCTCTGTCATCTTTGGATATCAGCCTAGCAAATTGTATCAAAAATAATTTGAGAAAGGAAGATTTTAAGGTGCCACAAGACTCAATATCATAAAAGAATTGGGGAATGATGCTTAGAAATTGTGTCTCAGAGAAAGTTAGACCCCCTGTGGCACTTCAGATGCTGAACAATTCCTGGGTACAGGAAGAATCAGGTGTATACAGAATCTGGAGTACACAGGCTGCCTCTGTACTTACCCTAATTTGAAAACTTCAAATGAGCAGCCAATCTTCTTCCTGGCTGGATGCACTCTACTGAGTCTTTATAAATGATGAATTCTATATAATAAGGCTGGAGTTTTCTCTGATTCTCATTATGGGCCCAGTAAATAATTTTTCCCTTTCATCTTGCTAGATGATAGAAACAGAATGTTTTAAAGAACTAAACATATTTGGACCAAATGGTACTATTTCACCAGACCTTAACAAAAACTATCCTCCAGAACCACCGAAGAAAGGATTGCTGCATCGAATATTTAAACGTCAGGTGAGAGTTTCTAAACCTTTCTTAATGCTTATGTTAATTAAATAATCATCTTTATCAATATTCCAAAATGTCCAAATCTTGTCATGGCATAATATAGACTAATGATGGGTGAAAAGTGTTGTGGTTCCTCGTCAGCCAGGGGACCCAGCAGCTGACTCTGGGGAATCAGAGGAGGAGGAGGAGGGGTCTGGAGTGATGTCAGAGGAAGGCTCTGATGAGCTCCAAGACTTACAGTCTGACGAGCAGCCAAGCCCCTCTACTCTCTCTCAGGCTGAGACACAGCTGTGCTGGGAGGCTGAGTTGGACAGTGATGACTCACAGCTGGAAGATATCCAGGATGCTCGTAGGCAGGCAAAGAGAGTCAGACAGAGGAATGCAATGAGGCGGCTCCAAAGGCAAAGGAGAAGCCTTTGGCTACATAATAAAAGGGAAGGTGTGGGAGGTGCTAGTTGCTGAAGGCAACCGTTTGTGTTAAGGAATCAAGTTTCAGTGAACTGTGTTTTGTTTGCCTTTGCCTTTGGACATTTACTCGGTCTGTAAATAATAAAAGGGGATTGTTTTTTTTTTCCCTGTGGTTCCAGCCTGCTTGTTGGAAGAGGTGTTTCTCCTTGTGAGCTTAACAAGGACTCACATAGGCTGGGACAGAACAAAAACAACCTTTTGCCAGGCTGCTGTCTTCAAATCATGTTGGATTGCAGCTACTCAGTATGGATTGTGGAAAGTTTGTGGTGAAAGAGTTCAGAAACTAAAGCACCATTTTTTCTTCAGGCTTTATGTCCTGATATATAATTGCTGTTGACCAAAAAATGAAACTGATTACCTGAGCATGGTATAAGAAACTCCACTTGGACTGAAAGACATAATTGGAACACATGGCAATGTGTTTGTAAAACATTTGGAAGATGAAGGCATTATCTATTCATAGATGGCTAACAAGGTAGACATGGCTAGTCATAAAATATATAGGTACTAGAAGACACACTAAGGAATTTGTCTAGCTCCACAGTGCTAGGACAAATAGACAGACTTAGAAGCCAAGAATGTGTTTATAGATGGCCACCATTTGCAGTTTCTATGAATGCCAATCAGGTTTACTATATTTTCCAAAGCGCCTGAAGGCAGGACAAGAAGCAACAGATGGAAACTAATCAAGGAGAGAAGCAACCTAGAACTAAGGAGAAACTTCCTGACAGTTAGAACAATTAACCAGTGGAACAACCTGCCTCCAGAAGCGGTGAATGCTCCAACACTGGAAGTTTTTAAGAAGAGACTGGACAGCCATTTGTCCGAAATGGTATAGGGTTTTCTGCCTGAGCAGGGGGTTGGACTAGATGGCCTCCAAGGTCCCTTCCAACTTTATTATCATCATCATCATCATCATCATTATTATTATTATTATTAAGATTTAGAAGTATTCTTTATATAAAAAAGATACTAGACACTGATGCTTTGCATTCTACCAGACAGTAGCTCAAGAGGTCTTGGCCTAAACAGAAGTCTCTTCAGAACCCAGGGGCTTAAGGAGAGTTGAGGGTGAGAAACTCGTGTGAATAGACATACAGTTAAGGGGATACAGTGGTATCCCCCTTTTTATGTCATACTTTATATCAATCAAATGGATATAATCCAAAGCATCACAGGCAAACAGTTATATTTTCTGGAAATTGCAATTGCATACATCTAGAATGATCCAGAAAAACTAACTTTTTCTCTCTTCCTTTTTAAAAAATTTCTCCAGCATCAGAACAATTCCAAGAGCTCTCCAAACTCAAAGACCAATTTAAATCATCACATAAATTCCAATCACGTCAGTTCAAACTCTACTGGGAGCAGTTAGCTTTTTCTGGCTTATGGATATTACATCCTTCCACTGGTAGAGTATCAAGCATCAAGGATGAGAAGAGCATCCACCATCAATCTAGAAGATCAACAGTTTATAACCACGGAAGTTTTTTTTCCTCCTGTCTGTTCTTTTTAGGGAAGCTTCCCATTGTATGAAGATATTTACTCTCAGGTCTGTTTTTGTGGGTGGAACCTGAGGTCTTATGACTCAACATTGTCTCTGTTGGACACCGCAATAGAAATTGGAGGCTGACAACTTGCACGTATTTAAAATCGCATCCTAACTAGAACTGAATTTTGTCCTTATTATTTTTAAAGAAAAGGTTTTGTAAATTTCTCTATTGTCTCAGTTTACATTTTGTACATTTGTATTTAAATGAAAGTCAAACTTGGGGTTGTATATTTTCTGAGCAGCAGCTTGTAAAGCCATGTGTTTTAAGACTTTTTAGTGTTTGGGTTTTGTTTTGTTTTTTTTAAGAAAAAGTGATCAATACTTCCAGTCTCAAAATGAGGGGGGAGGGGTTGATTTTTCTTGTGTAAATATAGAAAAATGTACTTATGTTCCTTTTTCCTATTGCTTTAGTTGATACTTTTTTTATAACTAACTTCACTTTTGAATTTTTTGGTTAACGGCAACACTGCAGACTAGTGTCTTCCCCTCCCCTCTGTTTTATTAAAAGTCTTGCATCTAATCAACTTAGACCTACAAAGTTTGGTCTCTCTAGAGAGGCTAAAAGGCTATGTCTGAAGTTCAGGATGTCATGGGACCATTGTTGCTATTTGCACTTTTTTTGTAGCTTTTATATTTGTTGCTGAAAAATCAAATCCTGTTTAAAATCTCATACCGCTTTTTCTTCCCTGGGCTGAAATTACATAACTATAGCTAGAAAGAGTGAGCACACAGTCATTTGCTCTTGACGTCTGAAGTCCGACCTTGGCAGCTCCTTTCAAGAAGACAATAAGATTGTTCTAGATTTCGTTATCTATTGGTTTCACCTTTAAGTGGGCCTGGCACAGTTCATGGAGAAATGGCTCGTGAAGGCATGTTGGACTTGCAGAAATGCCCAATTGATTCCTGAGTCAACATCTGTTTGCTAGTGTATTCGCTGCATCCCAGAACAAGAGTGCAATTGGTGTGGTCCATATGCCAGCTGGTGCTTCCCAAGACTCCTGCTTATGCTCTGGCTTCCATTTATGATATGGCAACAATGAAGGGAGTTAATACCAGGAAGCTGAGCTCTTAATGGGAGCTTCTGTATGTAATAAAAAAATTTATCTGTCCACTTTCCATTGCTCCAAGAACGTTCAAGATACCAGTTATGTGAAAACAGATATAATAGTTAGAAGTTCTTCAAACATCTTGGCCACTTCCTGGTTCTAAGGTATGACTAAATTGCATGGATTCTCTTTCCCAGGTTGAGAAGTAAAACTTTGAACACTCATTTATGAGGAAGGAAGGAAGGAAGAGACAATTTCTTGTGTGGACATAATTTATAAATAACCTCTTTTTAAAATAATCATTTCAGTGTGATAGAAAGATGTGTCAATTTTACCTTTAATATATGAATTTAAGGAAAATTTAAGAGCTTTAAACTGCAAAAATGGAGATTAAATAAATACTTAGTAAAAGATCACCATCTACAACCAGAATACTACAATGAGTAGTATCCCACATCAGTTTTAAAAGGTGGGATTTCAGATGGTTTAATGTCTCTTCTTTCTGTTTTTTTTTATTTCCAGGAGAATAGAATTTCAAATGCTTAATAATTTTGAGTATTTCAAATAATAAATTTGAAAGAGATTTATCTCATGTGATATTTGAATCCATTTTAAATGTCCATTTGTCCTTTTAAATCAGAGAGAGAGATGGGTCCTTTCCCAGAAAACAGGCTATGTTTAAACAAATATTTATGAAATGTAATTGTGGATTGTAATATGCTTGTTTTCTGCAGATGATAGTATTTCAAAGATGAGGACACATTTTTACAGGATAAACTTAGACTTTTCAAAATATGTTTGGTTGATATGAAACATGTTGGGTTCTTCCTCTCAGGTATTTCAACATGTAGCACAGCCTTCTATATCTATATAAAGTATTTTCCATCAATGACAACCAAGATCATGTCAATAAAAAGAAAAAGTTGAGCTTAAGACTAAAAAGCCACTTGCATTTGTATTCAGGGACATTAGAAACATTTGATTCTTCTACCATAATCATTCTTATGGTTATCTGTAATCAATACACTAAACAGGAGTCCCAGCCCTTGGGCCGTGAATGGCCACTGGTCCACAGATTGGCAGGAACCAGGCCATGCAAGCAAGTGAAACCCCATCCGCACACATGTGAGATCCAGGCAGCATGCAAAACCACACATACCCAGTCCATGGAAAAACCGGTCCCTGGCACCAAAAAGGTTGGGGGCCACTGATCTAATCTATAAACATCATCTAAATCAGATGAAAAGAGAGAAAGATCAGGCATATATTGTGACCCATGTCAAGGGCCTAAATGCTTCATTTTGATAACGCCAGTTCATGGAAATTCAGCTGTTCAGTAACTCTGGATTTCCAGTTTTTGAAAGTGTACATAAATGTGTGCTTCTCTTTGTATTTACACATGCACACATGAATTCTCTGATATCTCATACATTCTGAATAAAAAGATAATGGCTAAGTACAATGCCTTACTTAAGTTTTGCATGTGTAACTTTCTGAGTAATTCTTATTGGAAGGTCAGCCCCAGATTTCTCTGTTAGGCTGATACACAAATACAATTAACTGAAATAAGGGATTGATGTCAGTTAACAATATGGGCTGCATTAATCTGAAATGAAGATCTAGGTAATTTACCTGGTGGTTCTATACAGTAAGGGATAAAACTTTTCTTGTTTTATCTAAGTTCTTGAGAGCAGGTCATCTTCCTTCCATACAATACAGTAGAAGCTATTTTAATTTTTGGTGATCTGTGAACAAGAAAGACAATGACCATTCTCAGTAAGGAGTATTTATGGTGTCATCCACTGAAGGCATTTCATCCATTATCGCTGCTATTTCTGTCCTTTCATCTGCTTCTGTCAAAATGCAGATCTATCATAGCCTCTTTTCTCCTACAGCTAGACTTTCCTTCGGCATTTCCTTTTCATTATGATAATGGTTTCCTATTTCCCTAGGCCTATTTAATTGGAATGGAGTTCCAGACAGTAATAGGCAAAAGCTCAACACAATTCTGACAACCTCAGCAAAGAAGAGCAAAATTAAATTAATGGCGGAAAGAAGATTGAACTTGGGGTAGAAGGCCTGTCTTGAGTCCTTTTGAAAAGGACATCCTAAAGCTGAGAATTTTCTTTCAGTGTTTTTCTTCACTATGTGCAATTTATTAATTATAATAACAGTTACATTACAGCAATAAAAACACAACTTAGCTCGTACAGGACATGTTTTTGATTTATATATATATAAATCAAATTATAAATCAATTATATATATATATTATAATTCAAAATAGCTTGTGGAGTGCGATCAGACCCTTAAACTGGAACTCTTATATATTGTTTAAACATTTTTTTTTCTCATTACAAATGTTGATACATCTACATGGAATTCTCACCTAATTTATAAGAATCATGGAACATAAGCTAGTTTTTGAGCAAAGTTACTTATTTGTCTAGGAATTAAGTAAATTATTCTGCAATTATTTATTTTATACCCCCTTGTTAGTCAAGTTAGAGACAGTAACAAAAATATGAAATTCTGTGAGGCCAAGCTGTCATTTGGGCAGTCGCTATTTTAGAAAGTGTTTCTTTTTATTATAGGGAACCTCAATAATTTCTCTTCAATACTATGCAGCAATCTAGATTTTCATTTCACAAGTCCTATAAGGATACAATAGCAACTTTTCTATTGTAGCCAAGAATATAAGTAGTAGGAAGTCAAATATCATTAATATTAAGATCCATAAATATACGAAGAAAGGAATAGAAAATTTATCCATCTGCCTTTATTTATTCTGATTCCATAAGTCCTCATCCAAAATACTAACAGGTGCACCATTCTGAAATATTCATCCCTGCCCTCCCTATGTACAACTCACACTGTACAGTAAAATTATTTGAAGGGAAGGAATTCTACTTTTTATAATTTGTTTGATAGTTGAGCTCCATCTACTATTTACTACAAGCTGCTACTTGGCTTTTTTTTTAACTAGATACGCTGGGGATGAACTTGGGATCTTCTTAAAGCAGCCTATGTGCTCTTCTTCCCAATTCAACAGGATTTTGAGTGCTTGTCCCTCTCCATTGGGATACTCTACTATGAAGCACAATATATTCAAAGAACATTCTACAATCAAAAATGTCCCAGTTTCTTGATTTTTTACCGTAGGGTGTGTTGGAAAAGCAATATTTTTACATTCTTGGGTGCTTGGTATGGGGTTCTCCTCTTCCACCACCACCACCTCCTCGTCGTCCTCCTGTGTTCCTCTTCGTTTGCACATACAAACCAGACTCGGCTTACAACCTGATTTCACATACAGTTTGACTTTGCCAGAATGGAACATCTTATAAAAATGTCAAAACTACTTCAGATGTATCTAAAACAGGGTGATACTCCATGTCTGGACATTGCAACAATTATTCTTCATGTCTGTGACACAGGTGCCATATGCTGAGGACCAAAAAGAAAACTTATTTATTAGAGATTTTTATTTCTGCTTCTGCCATAATGTGCAATGTTAAGCGGATTCTTGGTTATTATTTTTTCAGCTCTACAAAAAGAGGCAGTGGATATTAGTTCAGAGTTGCATTTCTGAGTTTTAATTATTTTCACGAATTCAGTTATAGGCTACCATAGCAGACTCTTGATTAAAATAGTGAGATATGTATTAGTAATATACTTAACACTAAACTTTTAAAAAATTACACTTGCACATTACTTCTTGGGTTCAATTAAAAAACATTCAGAAGTAAATATTTTAAAGCACTTATCATATTGTAGTTTGCTAAATAAACAACATAAATTGCTTCTCATACATTTTTTCATAACTTAACAAATTATACATTTATAATAAGTGGAAAAAATGTTCTCAAATAGAAAAATTAGTAGCTGTTGATATTGTAAAATAATCATGATAATAATTCTAGTATCCAAAGGATTTTGTTCATTTGGTTTTAATATTCAGGGAGGGGTGTTTTTTTTTTTCAATTGTTGAATGAAAACCATTTTTATTTTGAGGTTGTTACCAACATCTACGGCTTCTGTGTTTGCTTGAATTCTTGTTCATGTCTGATAATATTACAGTGCTGCTGTATCTAGATCAAACCACTGTTTTGTTTTCCAGTTTTGTTTTGGGATTTTTTTAGGAAAAAGAAATAAATTCCTTTATTTAAATAATGTCAAGTGTCTCTTATTCATATTCCATAAAGTCACTTTTATTAGATAATTCA